GTGTCCACTCATTAACCCATGCTTATTTTCCACCAGTATTCATTTTCGGATCCATGCTTATTATTTGCTTTTCTCCTACCAGTATTCATTGTTCCTGGTCAGAGAATTAGCATCCATCTTTCTTTACAGTCAGTATAGTATTTATTATTTATTATTCCAAGTCAACTTGCAAGACGGCCCGAAGAAATGCGCTTCAAATCTGATACTATTGACAACGCAAGATTTGTAATCGAATTCGAAAGAAGAAATGCGCCTAGGTACACTTTTAATTCACTACGGGCAATTTCGTAACTGGATTATATTTTTCAACGCACTGGTCAAATAAACAGTGAAAATAATTCTGCGGAATGGCAAATTACAGGAAACGATAAGATGACCGGCAAACATCATTAGACTCTTTTTTTTATAGAGTTTTTCCGGACCAGGCTGAATATTCTCGCTTTTCTGCCGATTTTAGGCTGAAAATATCCTTGTGAATATTGGTAGATTACAGGAATACAAAGTGTACATTGTCGACACAACGTCAGATTATCTCTCCTATCAAGTCTTTGCGGCGGTCCTTTTGGAGCCACACGGCAGGCAATAAAGTCTGATATGACACACATAACTTCTTATTCTTATTGGGATCGTAAATTGCTTTCTGGCTAGTTTTCACGCTTAGAGAGAGGAGGAATTTCTTTAAGGCTTACTTAAAACATATTATCGTATAGTATTTACAAATTTTAGTGCGCAAAATAATATTCTTTTCAAAATCTCAGTCTCGGGTTTCAGAGTATTCTTAAAATATTCTTATTAAAATTTCGCAAATTTCTGCCTCGACTTTTTATATATTCTTATAAAATAAAAAGAGTGAACTTACAAAAATGAAGACGCAATACTTTTTTCATCATATTGCGCCTTAAGGGGAAACTACACGGCAAGTAATCATTATAATTTTTCTACTTCAAAGTGACAGTTATGGATAATTGTTGATTCACTTTGTGCCTCAGATTGAAAAAGTGTCGTCTTTCAAAGCTGCCCTGCCGCCAACAACCTGAACAACGCTGTCTGTTGGTTCACACGGCCAAGGAAAATGACACAATTAAACGCTTGCTTTAAGACACCGCAAAATCCTATATTTGTTTTGAATAAGGATATTTTGCTTAAAAAGTGCACCCTGGAAATCAGCTGCTGGACAAACACTTACGAGCCCGATCACTTGTGCAACATAAAACGCAGTTCAAAATATGACAAATAGGCTCTCGTGTTTTTAGAATTCGGGTTCGGCGAAGAATCATAAACAATTGTCTTTCGACGGAACGTTAACAATTAATTGCTGATAGTTATTTAAGAATGGCGTCAGCTATCAGTCATAAAGATGAATATAATACTGAATTTTTATTTTATTTTGTTTTATTGTACTGTATTTAAATTTCTTTTATTTCAAAACGGTGAATTCTGTCACGGAAGTATATTTAGCGGGGCTTCATTCCAAAAAAAAATTGCATTAATGTATTTGTACTGTTGATCAAGCTCTACATCGCTGATGATATAACTTAGCTGCGGTACACTTCATTCTAGTCTAATACCTTAATGACATTTGATAAGCATACGGATAAAATTATTGGAAGAAAACAGTGTATTTCCCTAAGGGTTTGCGGAAGTTTCTTGCTATTAAGTTTAAGAACGGCTGTCCAAAGAATGATTACGCATTGTTATAACCTCGACTGATTCCATGGCTCGTCTGCGGGGCTGCCCTGGAAACAGA